AGTGCCAGCTGTCAAAATCTACACTCTGTTTATTAACAGAAATCACAATTTTTTTTTTTATGCAAATGCTGTCATTTGTGTCCATTTCTTTTATTAGTTTCAGTTTTATTTGTTGAAAAAACAATTTAGATACGTGAGAGGTCGGACTTGGAAAGGGGAAACCCCACAATTCTATTCGGGAATTTTTCAAAAGAAAATTTGTTTTGAAAAGGAAATTTATTTAAATCTCGGAGAGAAAAAAAACTTTTTCCATTTTATTACCGGAGGATGAGTGCATTTCTCTTCCCAGAGTCGTTTCCTTTCCCAGAGAACTCAGATTGTGTCACTGGGAACTACAACTAAAAATTCACTATTAGTGGAAAACAACAATGTGACTTGGAAATAAAGAGGAGACCTCAAGGAACAGTGAGAGGGGTCAAGAGTCCGCAAGAATATTCCGTGTGTGCCTGCCGAAAGGATTTATCATCACTCGTTGCCGCGCGCTCCTCCCGAATATTCTATGTTTCTCCAGGAACACCTACGAAGAACCAACGGATCTCAACTTTTGATAGACTTTAACCACCATCCAAGGCAACAGAGACATTCCCAAGGCTCCCCAATGACTTCACAGCCATCTGGAAATCCATATATAGTGCTTCAGGTATTTATAACAACCCGCGATGCTATGTAAGCTCTCTCTCTCTCTCTCCAACTCGGTTCTTGCAAAGAAGCATTAAGGTAAATACCCTTTTGTAGAACTAGTTTAATAAACAAATTCTGTTATTGTTAGAATTGTGTTGACTTCCTCAAATGGTCTCCATCCCAAGTCCAACCGGCCAGACACGACTGCTCACGCGTAAATGCGAACGTAACGGTCTCTGTGTCTACCCAGAAGACACAGAGGTGTCAGTCCTGATAAATTTGTCATTGCGGTCTTTGCCGACGCAATGTCGACCCTTCGGTCCTGTGGTGCCGAAGCATAGGGGAACCCTTCGGCATTGTCACAAATATAACTTTCATTTCTCTAGAACAAAAGTACAAAAAATTATATAAATTTACAGCATCCTCTTCCAGTAATAGGTAGCTCTCTACCACTTAATTTTTCATGGACATTAATTCATACCCAAAAAAATCCTGTTTAAATACTTTCGCTCTTACTCTAAATTCTGCTCAGTCTGCCACTGAAATGTGATCAAGTGCATGCACACCAATACAATTCTGCCTGCTTGGCCAGTTTAGTCCATCCGCCCAAGTGCACGCTTAACTTAATAATCCAAATATGTCTTGAACAAATAATAAATTCAAATCTGATAAATAACAAAGGCGACAGTGTCAATGAGTCATACATATTATATCAAAATTAAACACAAATTTAATACTACTAAAAACACCATCTGTAAATAATTCTGATATTATTCAAACAACAAAATAGTAATATTTATTTTTGTGTTGTTGACCTAAGATCCAATATTAAGGACTTCTATAGATAATTGAAAATCAGTTAACAAGAAACTAGTTTATTTCTAGTATCGTTTATTAATAAATACATCTTTATAACAAGACAGTCCTGACTATTATAATTTTAATATCGGCCTGCTTAAATACAGAGGAAAAATCCTATTGGGAGTGAATTTCAGTTACATTCAATATATAATTTTTTCTTGTGAGATCATAAGAAACAAAGGGCTGATTGTTGACAATCGTTATTTTAATTTCATCACTCTTACAGGACAGTCTTTAAAAGATCAATGACACAATTGGGAAATTAACAATTGTTTGCCATATAATTTTAAAAATACTGAATTGATCTTGCTGATTTCAAAGTTTGTTAATCATTCAAGATATAGTTTCATTAAAAAATTCTGTATTATCCTTGAACAGTTTTAAAAATTGCTTAGTTTTTATCATTTCATTTTGAAACAAATTAATAGCAGATGATGGAATTTGTATAAAAATAGTAATTTCACTTATAAACTGAATTTTTAATTATTATTGGGGAAAGAATAATGTCATAAATTATAACAGTTAATTTTTATTTTCACATTCAAAATTTTAGTCAATGTATTATCATTGCTTTTATATTTGTTGTTCTGAATAGTTATGTTTGAAGATTATCTCTAACTTAAGACTGAGTTAGGAAAACTATTTTTCAAAAGATTTGAGTGAAGCATTATAGTAACACATATCATCATCATGCTTACTTTTCTAGTATTAGAATAAGCCTTTAGTCAATAAAATTACTCAAAATCTATTTTTATGTTATTCATAGTACACCCTATGTCAGAAAATTCCAGGACAAAGCTCGTAAAAAATAGAAAATTGCAATTACCAAGTAATGATCCCTGTTCCTGACGAAGTAGTCTCCTCAGCTATCTCTACACAATTGCCAATGTTTCTGGAGGTCTTGGAAGCAAGCAGAGAAAGCTTCAAGTGTGATGCTTGTTAGCTCATTTGTCACGGTCCATTGGATGTCTGTGATATCTTGACAAAATGTCGGTTGCTTTTTCACTCGCAGAAACAAGAAAAATCACACAAAGGGTTGCAACTGAAAAGGACATTTTGTCCCTTTTAGTTGCTTGCTTCTCCGCTTGCTTCCAAGACCTCCAGACACTTTCTATTTTTCTATTTTTTACGAGCTTTGTCCTGGAACTTTTCTGACAAATGGTGTAATAACAATGTACTATATGATAAAAATTAAACATATTAGAAAAGAAAAACAAATGGTGATTTTGATACTGTAATTATGCAGAGTTTTGCTTATACCTTACACAAAAACTACTAAGTCAGAAAGTGTTTTGTTTGTGATTGAAGTTTAAAGCAATCACAAGGCACCAAATGTGATTTTTTGCAAATATGTACCTCCCGGCAAGGCCGACATTATGATGAAGTCGAAAATTTGATCTATGCACCAGGATATTCTAGGTCAAAGTTTACTATTGCTGTCAATTTATATCAAACTTATCTAATTCTGAACAAAAATTGTTGTAAAGTTTTTTGCACAGTTTTCCTTTACTACACCACAGAATTTCATGTTATTTTCCTAGAAAATACCTAGTTTTCTATCATAAAATGACACCAAAAATGTAGATTATAAGTCTAAAATTTTTGTAGCTTGGTGATGAAATCTCTTGGTACTATTAGAGAAGCAAATTTTTAATTTTCAAAAATCTATTACTTCCTACTTTATCTCATGGTCAGGTCAGATGGTATAGTATTGTCTAAAGCAGAGGTGTCCAGCCTGCGGGCTGCATGCGCCCCAATAAACGTATAAACAAAACCGACAAATTTATTTATTTATTTATTTCAACGCTTTATACATATTTTATTTTTTAATAGAAAGGAAATATTTTCAAATACTTGAAATTGTGAATGAGGAAGGAATACTAAATAAAGCTGGAGTCGTGACTCAAAAGAATTATAGCCCCAAATTCGGGGAAAGAAAAGAAAGGCCAAAAGATGATAAGAAGTGAGTAAGGTTGGAAAATTAAGGATCAATATTTGCATAACAGGTTTATTTAACCTTTCTCACTTCTTTATATTTTCACCTTTCTCTCCATTCCCTGAATTTGGGTCCATAATCCTTTGAATCCCAACTCTAGCTTTATTTAATATTCCTTTCAGTGTTGCAAGATTTGGCTACTTTGTGCCAAATTTGGCTACCCTTTTTTTAGTTTGGTGTAAAAAATATCATTTGGCACATTGGCTACATTTTGGGCTACATATTATTTGAATAAAAATGCACTTTAAAATGGTGTTTCATTGTTTTAAGACCCAAATAAAACAAATATTTGGGTTTTTCAAATAAATTTTTGTTTGTCTCCTTTATAATAAATAAATTTATCTATTTCTAAGTACAAACTAAAAGTATCTGTGAAGTAATTTTTTAAAATATCCTTTTTTGTGATAAAGTTTTAATACTTATTACTATAATCTAGACATGTAAATACTTAAATATACTTGTATATTTAAGGATTGGGCCACAATATACTTGTGGCCCAGAACTCCATGACTTCTTCCAATGTGGCCCAGAGAAACAAAAAGGTTGGACACCCCTGGTCTAAAGCATTCTATAACTAAGCATTTAAATATTTGTTACAATATTTTCATTTTAAAACAAATATTAATCTTAGAAATATTCCAATTATTCTATTGTTTATATATTTACAGTAATTATCATCTTGCCGATGCTGTTGCCGCTATTTTTATTGCTATTATGGTTGTTGTAACTATGTTTCCTATGAGTATATATAGTGGAAGAACTTTATTGCAGGTAATTACATTACATTTTATAGTACAATATTTTCAGATATTAATTAATAAATAATTAAATATTTATTTTGTTACAGACAACTCCACCTCATATTGTTGGACAGTTAGACAAATGTCTTAGAGAAGCGTCAACTCTAGATGGTGTTTTGGAATTTAGAAATGAACACTTCTGGACAATTGCATTTGGGAACCTGGTAAGAAATAAACTAAACTTTTCTAAAGGTAGGAGGTTAAGCTGCCATCTCATGATAATTTTAATTTAGAATTTCTGGAAGAAAAGAATTGGCCCGGAATGGGATTCTTACAGTTATGCTAGCTACTTGGATCTCTGTCCAATCTTTGCTTTGTGTGTTTGTGTGTGTACAAATATAACTCCACAAACCCAAAACAATAGCTGGCTGACATCATGGAAGAGGACCTCGGGTGCACAAGTCATTCCCAGTCAGTGCCACCAGTGACCTATATGGTTATATCTAAATTAATAGTTCTGAAAGCAAAGATCAGATAAAGGTCAGGTAACATAACTGGCAACACAACTACATGATAAGCAGAAGTTGTGGGTTAAAATCCCACTGCGGGTCAATTCTTTTCTTCTTAGAATTCTAAATTAAAATTAATTTCAATTTCAAAAATAAATCTCTAATTCTCATTAGACTATGACATTATTTTTAACCTGTCCCGTGTTGTTCCCGAGTATTTTCGTGTTGACCTCATTTGACCTAATTAAAGAGAAATTTTTAAAAATTTTTACATCAACTTTTACTCTTTAGAAAAGTAGTATGAATAAGTGGTCAAGACTTCTTTAATTATGAAATATTTGAAAAATACAATGTTTAAAAAAATTATGCATTTGTATATCTACTGAGAATGTTTTAATGACCTTGACTTCTTTCAATTAAAAATTATCTTTTCCCGTTCAAGTGATTTACACTTTAAAATTAATGTAAAAGCGGCCTCAGCCTTCAGAGTTTCCATTGTTTTATAATAAGTAGGTGTATAGTGGTTTCTCACACACAATGCAGTGTAATTTAGCAATCACTTGGTTTCCTTTCATCTTTATTTCAGTTGATAATGTCTGTGATGCCCTTATCAACTGAAATAAAGATGAAAGCAAGTGATCACTAAATTACACTGCATCGCCATTTCAGTCAATGCATTTTTGTAGGCACTGTGGCAGTTTTTGTATGCCCATGTCATACCAGCTCGCTGGCATGTTGCGGGACCTATCTTGCGCACATCTTCTGATATTGCAACTTTTCCATTAAAAACCTATGAATGGTGTTTTGGGATACCCAGGAACCAAAATACAAAGATCATCCAGAGTGATCCGCCAATTACCACACATAATTTGCTCAACCTTCGTGACTGTCTTGTCAGAAATTGATGGTTTCCCGCGTCTTTCTTCATCGTGAATTTCAGTACAACCAGCTGCAAACTCCCTACACCACTTTCAGATGTTTTTGACATCCATGCACAACTCACCATACACTTCCATCAATTGGTGATGAATTTCAGTCAATTTAACATGATATGGTGGTGATCTGGTATGACATGGGCATACAGAAACTGCCACAGAGCCTACAAAAATACATCGACCAAAATGGCAATTATGTAGAAGAGTAGATAAACGTTCAAACTTTAAAATGATGTAAAAATTATTCAAAATAAACGATTCTTTGTATTTCTAAAAAATAGGAGACCTCACTTTTGGGATTACCTTCATATCTCAATATAAGTGCCACATTCCAGAAGTTAAAATTTATCTGAAAATACTTTGTTCTAAAAGTATTTAAGCTTTCATATTCAAATGGAGAAAGTATTTTTAAATTGAAATATACATCCTGAAAATTTTGCATCATCACTGAAATATTTATCAGGGTGAATGTATGTATGCACATGCTTACACAGGAATTGAATTTTTTTCAGCAGAAAATAGTTGAATTATCTTCTCATGCGAGTCAACAAGACATTAGAGTTAACATTAGAAAAAAATCTTGTGTACCATTCACAGCTGAATCTGATGTGGTAATTGGCCAACCAATTAAATTTTGTGAAAGATGGACCAATATTTAACTTGGAACCCTTAAAAACATATTTTGTGCTCACTGGTAATGTCATATTAAGTAATTTTACTATTCAAATGCCACCATTTCTCTGGTCAGGTAGAAATGGAGGCCTGTTTCAGCAAGGGTTGATTTGACCAAGAGAATAGTTGTTCACATCCTCCTGAATGAAATGATGGTCCCTGAAAAGTTTCATTGCATTTACTCAATGTTGAAATTTGTAAACAACAAACTAATATAGTTCTTAAATTAATTTCAGAATTTAAAAGACAAACTATAAAAATGTTGAAAAACTGGAAATTTGAGAAAATTTCCAGTTTGTCAGCATTTGTACGGATATGATTAAAAATTTTAAATTAAAATAATTTTAAAATTTTGTCTGTATATAAGAATAATTTTATTTTTAGAGTGGTTCCGTTCACGTTCGGATAAGAAGAGACGCCAACGAACAATTGGTATTGGCACATTTGGTTGATAGACTTTCCAATCTTGTGTCAGATCTAACAATTCAGGTGAGGAAAAGAAAATAGAAAAATTTTGTCAAAGTAGTGATTAGTGTTATTTAACCTCTCATTGTAGTATTAGTTTTGAAACTAGCATTTTTATGTTATCCATTGTTTTAGTATAATTTTTCTTATAGAATAATAGAAAATTACCATTAAAATTCCCTACAATTTCCACTCACTTTGCCCATTATAGATTATTCATGACAAAAATCTCAATAATATATCTTCATCTCTCTAATTTCATATGAGGATTCTGTAAGAAACTTAAGTTCAGATCACTTTTAAAATGCATTTCCATACTCAAATTAATTGGGTGAAGAAACTGTTTATTCAAATTGCATAAAAAACTTTGCTTTCAGGTTTTCTGCATCAAAATCAAGGGGCAACCTCTCTTGGATCAATCTGTGCTTGCTTTACTCCCTCTTCACTTCCTTCATCACTCCACCTCCCACCCCTGCTTGCTTTGCTTCACCTTGTTCACTTGTACAAAAATTTTGTGTTCCTTCGTTGGTTTCTCGTGTAATTTTTTTTTCATGATGAAAAAGTGTCATGATGATTTTAAGCTTATTTGAGATGCTCTTCTACCAAAACTAACTTAACTTTAATAAATTGCTTTTGGTAGATGAACATTTCAATTTTAATAAAACTGCACACTTCCATTCAAAATATCATATCTCAACCATTTTTTTCAATTAATTCCAGGAAGAATAGATTTGTGTGTTTGATAAATGTCGGAAATCTTGAAGATGTTAGGGGTTAGGGAAAAGAACATAGCAGATAAGAAAAACCTTTCATCTATACCAATAATTTATAATTTAACAGCTACTGATGAGTAGAAGTGAAGATTAGCATGCTGTTTCAGTTTGATGATGATCTTTTATATATTGTTGACTTGCACACTGCACATACAAGAAATAAGGTTTTGCTTAACTTGGTGTGTCTACCAAATCTGTTTGTAAGGATAAATCCTAAATAATTTTCTATTTATTAGTGGGATGTGATTTCCAAAGTTGGTAGTGGTCCTTGGGAGCAGTAGAAGACTCAAGGGAATGCTGGGAGGCAAGGGAGATAAAAATCTATGAAATTCAAACAGATGTGTCTCAAAAATTGATTTTATTCATAGGAGGTGCCAAAATAAAGTACACACTGCAATTGTACAAATTGAATGAATTAAACACATACAATGTTTGCGCAATGCAGCGAGTGCTCATGCACAGTTGCATAATCTTGTTGTATGTATATTCTTTCATGAAGACCCCCGAGTCAGTCAATGTGCATTTGTTGGTTTTGTATACACAGATCTTTTTACTTGTTTATGATGTGTGTGCATGCTATTACTATTTCTATTACAAACTTGCAGTGCTCTCCAACTGGTATGGCTGCAATACTTAGTTTGCTACATATTGTAATTTAATATTGGTATTATTACTTCATATTTTCCTCTTTCTGTGTAGAATTTTGGCACTGAGTATTGGAGAAATTGATCTGTTCATTATGAAATTATTAGAATAATTAGTTGTCACTCATAGTACTGTCATCAGCTGAAAGCTGTGTTAGCATAATATTTAAGTTTAAACTTGTCAAAATGAAAGAAAAAGCTGAAATATTTCTGCTTTTTCTCTTTCATTTTGACAACTCTAAAGTTTTGTGAATATTTTGTTTCAGTATAATAATTAAAGTGTTGCCAATTGTTTCTTCACACAGTAAGGTGCTGGTTGAAAGAATCTAACAATATAATATTTAGAGTAATAAGAGTTCATTGTCTTACCCCGACTACAAATAGACAAATGGCACAATTTAAGGATAATGCTTACTAATGTCGAGTTGGATGTGGAAAAATCAGTCTCAGTGCATTAGGTTTATACTTTACATTAAGAAGTATCTGGACAATTATTTTTTGTTCATAAAATCTAATCTTAACTTTCTAACTACTATCTCAACACTTTTCAACTAAAACATTATTTGAATAATATGTAGCTGTCTAAAAATCAGTCAAGAGTTAAAATTTGAGTTTTGGGATTGAGCCATGTTAAGTATAAATCAAAAATTCTCTCGCTTCTTCACATTCCTTACACAGTGAAACAAGAGAAATATTTCTTATTTTTAAGTATAATTTTCCTACCTGCAATATAGAAAATATTAAAAATGGAATTACTGATGTCTTAAATAAATGAAAAAGCCTTAGGGAGTGCTAGGTTTAGCTTACTCACTCAATAACCCTAATATCCCAGGCAGCACTAATTGACTTCATATACTTACTACTAAATGTTTTTTGTAACTTTTATATTCTATTAACAAACAATTGTTATAAATATGAATTTAACAATTATAAAAAGATGCCTTTATAACTATACATCATTTACAGTTCCTGTCTTCACCAGACTTTTTACAGCACAAATAAGTACTACTAACTATATATAAAACACATTGTTTTCAATGCCCAGTCTCAGGCACTTCCAAATAAAAACAAATAGAATGGCATAACCTCACAACTAAAAAATACAAGTTAATCTTTTTTGATCTTGATTATGGATCCAAAATATAAATACCTAGTGACTAACCAATGTTATTAATTTCTGTACTCATCATCATTTCAGCAGGTTTTCTTTGTTCTAATATGAAGCTAAAAATAGCAATATTTGTCCGATATAATCATTCACTTTTATAACCACTTAAAAGAGTTTTTTGGACGAATAAACCAAAATGTTATGTCCTTTGAATCCGACATTTACCAAAGTTCAGGAATTACTCAGAAGACAATTTATTTCTCAGATGTTTTATTTAAATGCATTTTGGATCAGAATTCTTGCCGTACCATCTGCGACAGAGCCTACACCAATATTTTGAACTCTTCAAAATCAATCACAATAACACGAAGGACACATTTTGGTTTATTTGTCTGAAAACCCCTTTTAAGTAGTTAGAACAAAAAATTTCATCTTTATATTTTTATTGCTTGACATGCTTGGCCAGTAACAGTAATCAGTTAGTCATCTTTGGGTTTCTTGCAGTAGAATAATTGTATAATTCTTCTGTTCTCTCAACATGTCAAGGATCACAATTTGATAAATCGAGAATCTGAATTAGCTGGAAGGTTAATAAATAATGTTATTCTGCACATAGTGTTTTGACTTACCAATTATTTCAGTTTCCAATGCTGGATTATTTGGCAATTCACCATCTTTAAAATACTTATAAATATCTGAAAGTTTCTACAACTCCCTTTGTTACTGATTGTCTCTTTGCTTACACTGGAAGAAAAGTCCACTGTCTGAACTCTAACATATTATAAATTAGAAACTAAATGTGTTACTTAGTGAAATATTCTACCAATTAAATAGAATTTGAAAATTCACAGACATATGCCAGTCTCTAGTTTTCTTCTTTATTGTGATAATTCTTTAAGACCACCTATTAAGTTATTCTTGAACTAATATTTAGATCTGCTAAATATTTCATTAATAATGTTAGACAGAATGTTCTCAGTGATAAACTTGAATATTCTAGTGGAAGTTCTTTTAACTTATCTAACTTGCTACCTCTTAGTGACATCTTTATCTGAAGTAAATAACGTGGAGGAAAACCTTCCGAAATGTTATTAAGTTGTCTGAAAAATTCAAAATTCTTTTATTGGTGTCTTTTTAATAAAATCAATTCTCATTAAACAACAAATGTCTGGTTTCCAAATTTTGTATAACTGTATAGTATCCCCACATAAATTCTTCTGTATTCTCATTACTACGATATTTTCTGGCAAAAATTTCTGGGTCTGCTTTCACCTTGTTAAGACCAGTAGAATAAATCTAATCAAAGTCTCAGAATTTAATTCATGACCAAAATTGTTCTTTTGGAGAACCATCGGAGCACAATACAGCAAAGTTTATCCAACACTACTCTGACTATTGTAAACATAAAAGTGTTATTCCAAAACATGTATAAAGCCACTAACATTAAAATCTGGCTTACCTGGGATTATATGCCTAGAGGAAGATTTACAGAATTCCCTCCTGACAGATGTTGATTCTCTGACGACGACGATAGTATTTGGTCTCGCTCAATCAAATGACCTGTTTGTTCCGGCCGAGATAAACGTTTGGCTGTCGATGCCGTTTTTCTTTGAGACTGTAGTATGGAGGAAAACTTGGCAGCTGCATAGGGACCAAGGTTCCCATAGCATTAGTACTAACTTGCATGGTCTAAACTTAAAACAGACCTTACACCAGAATTTTATAAGGCCTGATTTGTAGTCAGAAAATTCAATCTAAATATACCGGTATCATAGTTGCTAATCCCATCTTTGTCTTAAACATATCATGTGAAACTGCACCAGTTACATCAAAAAATTTGGCCATAATGACAGAATATTTGTATTAAAATATTTTTCCTAATTTGAGTGTTCAAAAATCATTATAGATATTGGAAAATGGACTTTTCCAATGCATTCCTCATAAAATTCTGGCCTAAAATTAAGAATGATCAATGGGAAAGGGTCATATGGCACACAAATTTAGCCATCTTCGATTCGTCTCGAGATGGCCGACAGACACCAACATAGTAAGTTCTTCCCTCTGCATCTGAGTATTATACAAAGTTTCATGCTTTTTATCTTTAGTGTGGTCTTTACATTTTTAGTTATTACTTCCTCCAAGAAGTTTTTATTTTAACTAAAATTATTTTCTATTAAAAACTAATATAGTTTGAATTAAATAATAAAATGTTCTTTTGTCTTCTTGTTTAGGTATTTAAAGATGAGTGGGCTTGGAGTACGACGACACTGCAGATCTTAAATGAATCGGCATTGAAATTTCCGCCGCTGTCGTCGTCCACCCCATCAACCATTTCTCTTAACGGTCGGGCCACCGATCCGTCGGCCGGCAATGCTCTCCGGCCTGCCCGTCCGCCTCTACTCTCGGACGTTTCAAGTAATAGGATATTTGGCTCCGACCCCCGTCTCGGACAGTTTTCTCCACCCTATTATCCCTCGACGGGTCTGGCGTCGAATCTGGCAGAGACTTACAGAACTCCAAACGGTACATATCTGGGTTCAGTGGCCAGATCATCTCCATTGCCCGGCATCGTTCCATCTTACGTACCGGAAAAGAATGCCATCGGTGCCGCCGCTGCCAAGATTATTAGGTGATGAGTTCCCGGACTAATTAGTTAAGATGGGAGTAAACTTAGTCAAAGGGAACAGTTAACCATGAAAGTCATAAAGAGCAGGAATTAAATTTTTCTCTTTATTTTGGAAGGCATATTTAGAAATTCCTGACATTTTTTTTTTGACAAAACACTGAAGCTAGTACTTGTCTCAATTGGAAGAATTTGAAATTTTTGCTGTCGGAAGACAGGAAGATTATCTGTAAGTCAATTGCTTCCGTATTAAGAATGAGAGAAAAATCTTGGAAGAGATTTTTATAAAATTAATGTTTTGATATGTACATTTATTATGTAAAGGAATAATTAAAATGATTTATGTTCTTAAGGCTTGTTGAGGCTTCAATTATTTTTGTATTTAAAATGGCAATTACAAGAATTAGGTTAGTGTCAGATTAAGCATTTACTATACATAACGAATATGACAGGACTGCCAACCACACTTTAATTTTCTTAGAATATATACAACAAAAATCTGGTTAAAACCAGTTTCAGTTACTCTGTCTCTGTATAGCTAATATAATTTCATTTAGAAATTCATGAATTATCAGATGTATAACATATACAAATTTTAAAATGGCACATTCTATCATTTGCATTTAACAGATTGTAGTCTGAATAAGGGTCACTAACGCCAATGAAAAAAAATCCAGTAACTTTTAAATGTTGCAAAATTAAGCAACTCTCTGCTTAACTTTCAAACTCTATGGGGGTACCATCTGTTATGATATTTTATTATTAAAAACTTTTTTGCCATTTTATAATAAAAATGTAAAAAGCTTAATTTTGAGGGTAGGGATGGGTTTCATAAAAAGATGTAAATGCTAATGAGTAAAATTGTCATTAAGTCCAACCCTACTAGGATATAATGTGACTCCCCCTTTATCTCCCCACCCGTTGACCTTTAACCACTGAAATTTAATAGCATCAATCCCCTAATACACAAATCTCCCTGCAAAAATTTCAGAAATCTCACAAAAAGCATGGGAGTTATTAAGCTTCAAACAGGATGAACAGAATTATGTCCCCACTAACATCCACACACACGCAAAGTACCTTCAAATGTTTTGAATTTCTTGTATACCTAAAATCCGCTGTATTTCTTCCGTCAATTCGTTTCTCGTGGATGTCCAATGTGTGTTGGTTCACCATAAGTTATACTTTTACTTTCCTTGGGCTACGTATACAACACAAACTATATATTGGAATCGTGTCAAGTTTTACACAGTTTTTTTTTACAAATCTTTATATTTCGAGATAACTGAACCCAAAAAAGATGAAGAAAATTCTGTGTGTGTGTCTAGTTTAATATCTCTGCATGGGGTAAAAATTAAGAAATGAAATTTGGTATGGTGGCTAGTGTATGACAGGCATTGATACTATTAAATTTTGGTGGTTAAAGCTCAAGGGGTGAGACGATACAATACGTGACCCACCTTTATCTCGAGAGGGGTCGGACTTAATGAAAATTTTGCTCCTCAGATTTTATTAAATATTGTAAATGCTATTGTAAAATGGCAAATGCTTAATTTTGAGGGTAAAGATGAGTTTTATAACATACGGCACTATGCACAATTTTAATTTGTGATGGTGTGTCAGTGTTTTTCACTGGAAAAATTACTTTACTCTGAATTTTTTATCGACATAACTACAATATATATCAATAATGCCCAGTATTTAAGAGGAAAGTAAATTTTTATAAAAATGTTATATTGAATTGTTAGATTTGGAAAAAATTGCCATTACAGTATTTAATTTAATAGTTTCCAGTTTGATAGCAAAGTTTTTTAATTACTTTTTCTGCCCTGTGTGCATGAAGAAGGTAGGTTGGTCACAATTGGAACAGCCAGGCAGCAAGAGAGCATAACATTCAGATAACCCACCAATGAAAATTTAATGAACTGTTGAAAGAAAAAAAACCAATGTTTAGTCTTCCATGGATTTTTTTAAATGAGTTATAAAATTTGCCACGTGACTTCACTTTATTACATATGGTTGTGTTATGTAGACAAACAAAAGTACTAGAAGAGACATGTATATTAAGCTAACAAACCTAGTAAAATTAGAATTTGCTTTGTGAAAGACCCAAACTTTTGTCAGAAGTCAATGCGAGGGCTATTAGACTAGAAGAATAGGTTACTCGACCATTATGTAAGAAACATTACAAAAAATTATGATGGATCTTTTCCAACCAGAAACGAATGCCGGAGAAAAGCTTACAGATGCCAATTGTTTGAACAATATCACTGCACTGGAGCACCTGGTTCAAGCATTTAAGTATGGCTCCATGTTTTCTCCAAAATCAAGGAGGATTAGTCCAGATATCATCATACCAAACATTGAAAAATACTAACAGGTGTGAAGGAAGCTCAGAGATTTCTTCAGATGGTGGTTTTCAACATGATAAGCAATGGATACAATAACAGATCATCAACTATGGAAACCATATATGAAAGCAAGCAGCAGCAGCTCCAGAGGAAATCATCACACTTATTAAGTTGGATAAAAACATAGTTTTATTGAAAAAGATTCACTTATGTGTCATTACTAGAACAGTGTGTAAGATCCACAGAGTTGCAGACAGAGAAGATGGGTCTATCAACAAAATGAGTTTGTGGCCTCAAAATAGAGCCACCACATTTACCTGAACAAGCCTGGCTAGATACTTGAATTTAAACAATGCCACAATTCTTTCTCCACAAATGCCAAGGCTTTTTGCCTTCACCAAAATTGCCAAACCAGGTAAACACCTATGCCCTATTGTAGACTATATAAAGCTATGTCTATGGGCATACCCATATTCTAAACGATTCAGAGGTAAGCGCTAAGAATCAATTCACATAGGTCCCCTTTCAAGCACCTTGATTCTTAGAGGTTTAGAATGTAAAGTATTGGACAATTTAGGGCTGGAAGTTATACTAAATACAAACTTCATATATGATGTGTTAATTATTTGGAGATCCAAACTTAAATAATGTATTAAGGGAATTCAGTCACAATCAATACTGTCTTACAGTAAACCTTGACCAGGATAATAGCAGCGAAGCCTATTTCCTGGACCTCCATATTCAGTTCAAAAATGGCCACATTATAACTAAGGTATACCATAAGCGTAATCTGCACCTCCTTTATACCTTCAATTTCTAACAATATCTTTACAAAATGGTGGCTTTTAGAGCATTAATAAAAAGAACCTATATACATTGCTCTAACATCAAAGACACCCTCCAGGAGCTAAAACATACAAAACTAATAGCAGTAGCACATGGATATAGTTGTAAACTTATCCAAAGGTTAGCAGGCACTACAGAAGACAAACTTAAAAACTTTAGAAATGCATCTGTCAAAACACAAACACAAAATTAGAAGCACATAGTTGTTGACTTCAACTCCAGATTAATTAAATCCTCCAACATACAAGTTTATCATCAAACATGTAAATGCCAGTCTCACATTTAAATGCAATCAAACGGTATTCAAGCTACTCTTAAACACTAAAGATAAAATAGAAGCCAAAAATCCCCTGGGGTATATTCTATACCACTGTGTGACAGCAGATTTGATAGCTACTTGTATATATAGGATCAACAATGTGGCTTATATATACAAATATAATATGCAAATTTGGCCGAAAACATTTTTATATTAATATTAAAGTGTTGCTGCTGGAAAACGTGAATGGTATGATTTATTATATGTAAGTTCCAGCTTACATATTGGAAGAGGAAAACATCCTTTTAGAAAACCATTAATGCTTCTCATAGTGATGAAAATTTGATACGATGATGAATTCCAACACATTTTGAAGTTTAAGGACAGTGACAGAACTGTTGCTGTAAATGGCAACTGTCTGGGGCAAGTGTGACTACACCAGGAGATGGGAGCACAAATAGTATATATAAGATCAAACTTGTTGCAGATAGAATGAAATTCTTTTTTGCCACAAAAGCAGATTCAATACCCTTAATTAACCATTTCATAATGGTAAAGTGATAAAAGGTGCTTAGCAACTAGAACAACAGCAGAAAACCTTACCTGAATGAGCAAGCTAGCAGTCTGATTCTCCAAACTGACATGGGAGTGACCAGGATTAAGAAGAAAGATGCTATCAGCATAGACAGGTTTTTACCTTGTCACTAGTTGATTTGGAGAAAATCAAAAAGAAGTGGTTTGCAAACAGCCATTCAGGAAAACTGCTGAGAAAGTATATAGTCCAGTCTGTAGCAGCCCATGCTTCTCTGTCATAGCACTAAAAACAATGTGGTGATAGTGACAGAATGCACTGTGCATGTAAATTTGCCTCTACTAATCATCTGCTAATGATATGGGAAGAGAAAGAGGATTCTGTAGCAAAGCTATCTGTCTCTGGATGGTGGACAAAGACTCCATCACAGCTATTTGTGCTTGTGTGACAATCAGATGATCATATCTACTGTTGGTCTGTCTGGGATATCCAGAATCTGCCCACAATGTACGTTCCCTTATATATTCACTACACCCAATACCATCTTAGTCAAATCACTCCAGCCAGACAATGGGGAATTTGGCAAAATGGCCATCCTGCTTTCCTCTGCTTAAATATGTAGCTTTTGTCAAATTCTCTCAACTGTGCATAATGTCTTTGAGTGCATATCTGATGTTTTGAAGATCTTCAAGCAATTGGTACACTGAAAATTCTGATCACAGTGAGCCTCACTGAAGCTTTTTCATAGGATATTGAGTTAGTTATTGTAATTTTCTCATTCATTTTTGGCTCTTTTAGGCCTAAGAGTACTAAGATACTAAGACCTTTTTTAATCATACCCACAATGAGAATGACCAGGTGGTGAGGGATGAGACCTGGTATATCTAGAAAATTCCTGAGATTTCTGATCCAGATACAAACTCAAGTACTCAAGCAGCAGATTGATGCCTTTATTGTCTTGACTGTCTTTCCATTTAGTATCCATGATCAATTTATTTTTAAACATGTTTATCAATAACATAGTTTGTGCAATGCACTTATTTCAAGAAGATACTTTATCATTTTTCCTGCTTTCAACCTAATTGACACTAAGAAGATCTTTTTAATCATACCCTTCATGGGTTCAACCAGACCAACACCATGTAAATAGAAAACTGTGGGGACATCACTAAATGGAATCCATTCATTACAGCTCATTATTGAAAATGACTTCTTTTAATAATTTGAAATATTAAATATTTTAGATTTTTTTTAAGCATCCATACTAGTTTAATTGTTAATATTCACATCATAATAGAGAGACAGTTGACAAAATGTTCTAATCTAAGGACTGCTAATGTCTTCTGAACTCAATATTTGGAAATTCACGGATTATTTGTATTTGAAAGATAACTTTGAAAGGGGATATGGGTTATGCACCGGGGCAGGTTATACACTGATTTTAAATTTAAATCATGAGTTAAAAAATACACTATTCTTCAATAAATATTAAATATTCAAAAACCTAAAATGCTATTATATTAATTTGATAAAAAGTTAAAATTAATGCCTTAAAAACATTTTTACCTATAACACACATTGATGCCAGAAATCAACAAATAAACTCTACAAATTTACTAAAACAAAATGTTTTCATCCAATAATGTGTAAGTAATTGTATAATTTTCTCATTACGATAATCACAAAAAATATTTATATTAATATTACTAAGAAATNAATTGTTAACTTGCTACAGTGTAGGTAATAATTGTGATCATTAATCATGCATGTTTATCATGTTGTTATAAATTTTTCAAAATACGTTACTATTTTTTTTATATAAAAGAAAGTACTTTTATTAAAGCTTTCATTTAACACTTAGAGCCTTTGATACGGGAAGCTGCATATTTTATTTTGGATTAACATGTAGTATATGAATATAAAAGGACATATGTATGTGTTTATGTTATGTAAACACAAGCATATGTATTAATTTGCTATTTAATCAATGAAGGGAATAGATTATTTAAATTTATTTAAGGTTTCTTATTGCAATGAAACTACACAAGAGTGGCAACTTAGAGTAAAATGAATTTGTGACTCTCAAACTGAATTTGATATGTTTCTTTATCTAATATGGATATGTTGCTGTTTGATAGATGAAAACCATATTACAGGGGAAAAAGAAGGGCCAGAAGAGTGGACGTAATAAAAAAGCTAACAAGAGTAAAAATAATCAGAGAAAAAATACCAAGAAACCAAATGTTCCTCATACTGGAAATGATTTGTCTGCAAAAATTTATTCTACTATGGAGAAACATAAAGAGGTATTTAAAATTACATTTGTTATGAAATTTGTTTGTATCAACTATTTATACTAACTTACATCTAATTTGTTTTTAATTTTATAGGTATTTTTTGTGATTAGGCTGCATTCTGCTCAAGCAGCAGCCAGCCTTCCTCCCATTCAAGACCTAGATCCTTTTATTAATTGTGATCTTATGGATGGAAGAGATGCCTTTCTTACTCTAGCGAGAGACAAACATTATGAATTTTCCTCTTTAAGACGTACAAAATATTCTACAATGGCAATGCTTTATGAACTACATAATCAGGGTCAGGACAGATTTGTGTATACCTGCAATACTTGCAAAACTCATGTGGAAACTAGATATCATTGTACTGTTTGTGATGTGAGTATTGTTTTAATTTTTAATGACTACCTTAAGACAGTTATTCAGTTAAATATTTTAAAAATGAATATATTTTATTAAATTTTTATTGTGAATTACACATACAGTAGAAATTTGATTATCTGAACATTAATGGGACCAGGGGTTTTTCAGATAATCCAGAAACTCGTTTGTTTTTTGTGATTTGGGTACACCAAACATTGTACATTTAAAGTTTCATGAACTATAAATGCTAAATGAAACTACAGGTACTGTATTTGAAAGTAAATTAATTTATTCAAAATCAAAACTTATATATACATATATGACCTAGTCTTGCAATAATACATTTGACAAATGATAGTAATTTTAGTTACATGAAGAGTTTGGGACCTGTATTATACTCTGTAATATGTACAATGTTACACATTCTAGTCGTTTTTTTCTTTTTTCATTGAAAACAATTTTGGATAATGGAGTTTCTACATTATTTAATTTTATATTAACTAAAACAAATTACCCATGAAATTATGTGAAATATTTTCTAAAAATATACTTAATTTAAAAACAAAATTTATATTAAAATTAAATATAATGTGACCCTGACTTTTTTAAGTATTCAATACAATGAACTGGTTCATTTCATCCTTATTTCCAATTTATTAGACAAAATATTCAATATAATGAGTGCTACTAATATTTATGAGAATGAAATAATCATTCTCATAAATTATTTAAAACTATCAAATCATTCTCAAAAATCATGTAAGTTGCCACTTTCTTTGGGTTTTCATTTACTCTTTCTGCTTTGTGCTCTAAGAGGGCCTTTATACGAAGAGTTCATCTTGGGTTTAGTCAGGCCAATAATGAAGTAGTTTGGGTGATGAGATACACCCACAGAAAAATTTCTGGAGGTTTTTTGACCCAACTCAGTTTATTCCAGGGTAGGCTGATACTTTAATTGTTCAGTCATTCAGCTATCACCTTTGGGATTTGACAGTTTAAGCTCTAAATGGTGATCCCTCTTGAACAGACTTGTCTTTGATTTATTTAATAATAATCCAGCCATCAGACGGAAAAATTCAACAAAAAGAAATTTTTAAATGTACCGTCGCCAGGGGCAGCTTCAAAATCTACATCTTCCAGCACCTTTTCTAGTAGATATAAAGCAGAACCACCCATTGGCCAGATGGATGTGCAGTAAGACGTCTGTATGTCACCGATTCTTTTTACTTTTAATTGGATGTCTGTGTTTTTTAAAGGACTTTTTTACGTTTTGGCAGCATGAAGCTTAAAAAGGAAGGCCTGTCGCCATTAATGTGTATGTGTAGTCTGAAATGCGAAATAAATGGTGATCCTTCTTGGACAGACTTGTCTTTGATTTATTTAAGTTTAAGCTCTAAGTTTAATTACAATTTCTTTGGGTTTTGGAATTGTATTCCACTATTTAAAAGTTGTTTGAATTTTGATTAATTTTTAAATTATTTGGTTTTAAAAAACTTTTTCAGAAACTGATTTTAAAAACAAACATTAATATCATTTAAATATAATGTTCATAAGAGTTATTTAGTTAAACTGAAATTCTTTGCAGTGCATGTACAGTACAACACATATGCATAATAGCATCACATAGCTTTAGTTGTATGACAGATTTCCATTTAAATTCAATCCCTAGAACTATTTACAAAACTCAGTTTTAATATGAATTGCTGAAAATTTTGACTATTGCTATGGTCCATGCTAGTGGAATGCCTTAAAAGTGCGATATCTAGTAGTAAATATACATGAAATAATGATTGACCAATTGATATCATTTTTAGTATATTAATATTACTAAGAAATAATAAATTCAACATATTTACCATTAGGCATTGCACTTTTAAGTGATTCCAGTTGTTCAGGTCTAATGATGGTTGTAAAATTCTCAGTAATTCGTGGCAAAAATTGATTTGAGTACACCATACTTGCCAATTTCACATTGTAGATGAGGTTGACTTGATAGCTAGGAAAGGTTGAGAAATAAAAAACAATTGTAGATTATTAGCCAAACTTGTGCAACTTTTAATCATTTATTCAATCTTCATTCTCTTTATCACAATGATATCAATAGATTTATATTAATTTATTGGCTTTTCCTACTAGTAGTAAAAAAGTAAAATATAGATTACATTGTATACAATATGTAATAAGTATAAAAAGTTAATTATCTATAGAAAGCAAATTATAAAAAGCTGTCAAGGGCTTTCGCTCAACTTTCCTGGCATTCTAACAGGAGGTTAATGGGACAATTTAGAAGTCCAATAATTTTCAATTATATTATGATATATAAAATATAAGTAATAACAAAAGCTTAAAGTGACTATTGAATTATGACAAAAATCTCCATTTAAAAAAATATTTAAGTTTAAAAAACACTATGACACTATCTCAAAGTTAAAACTGTGTATGGCATCATCCATTATGAGATGTTATTAAAAGATAAATTTATATTATTATTACCAAAGGCAAAAAAAAAAAAAATACTTATTTTTGAGGATAGAGACAAGTTTTCAAAACTTGTAAATGCCAAATAATATGTAAAATTTTCATTAAGTTTGACCCCACTTGAAATATGACACGACCTCTTCTATCTCCTCACCCTCTCGACCTTTAACCACCAAAATTTAACAGCATCAATGTTCCTTATATACAACCTATTGTGCCAAATTTCATTTCTTAATCTTTACCCCAACATGAGATATTAAATGAAACAGATTCCAACACACACACACAGAAATGTTCCCCCCTTCTTTTTGAATTATTGGGTTCAGGGAGTATCAAAACATTGATTTACAAACACTCAGAGAGTCAAATCTGATTTCATTACAATACTTTCCTGTGTTGTGTTATAACAGCTAAGAGAGTAAAAGGCAAAAATNAAATTAAAATTCACATTTCAATCAATAATAAAAAATATGATATGTTGTATCTTAAAAAACAAAAAAAATCTATAAAATAAATATCACTTAAATTAAAATTAAATACTCTTTCAAGTGTAAATAAACTTGAATTTTATTACTTTATTCAAAGAACTATGTCTTTTACTGTATAGTTATTTCTAAAATTTAAAAGTGGTATAAATTATTTGTATTATACTATATTCTGTATATGCTGTAGTACGAGTTATGCTAAGAATATGCATTGGTAATATATTATGGTATTTAATATATGTGATGGAGCCAAAAAATAGATCATACTTGAATCATTAATGTAGTATAAATTACATTAAAAGTATTTAAAGACAATCACCTTCAAAATAAGAACTTTCTGCAACTACACACTTCTATTAACATTTGTGCCGCTTATTAGTTAAAATGATCCAGTGGTCCATTCTGTTTTACATCTTGAATGCAATTGCTTCAGCAGTCTAGAAGACTTCTGCAGCAATTGCAATGAAGACTTGTTATTATTTACATATTAATACTATTAATATAATAAAAGTTATATGAAAAGTTTGGTTTATTTTTTATTCTGTCATGTATAGTGTTATGCAATGCAATGTACTGTATGTGTTTTTTGCTATTAAACACAAATTTGTTTTTTCTTGTAGATTGCAGTCAGGAAGAAGCAATGGAACACATGAGAAAATTACAAGAGGATGGACATTACTTACAAGACATATGGACATGATACTTTGTTTTATCGCTTATGCATATATTTTTAGAAAATTTATTTCAACACACAAAGAGTATTCCATATTTTAAAATATTCCATACAAATGAAAATCATAGCATGATAATTTTTAATGTTTACATTTTAAATGATGATAATTTTAGTATATTTTATATTAAAGATGTTTAATATATCGATAGTTATATAAATTTATTTTGTTATATATTAAAAACAATAATTTTAACTACTAATAATGAAGACAAATGATTTTTTTGCTATTAGATCATTAATGCTTTGATAATTTTTCCTAATTAAGTAATATCAAAAAATTATTTTAACTTTAGATAGATAATGCATGTAATTAAATGTTTTCTTATCTTTATTAACTTTTGTTTCTAAGTAATTGGATAAATATTTATCTTCCAAAAAGTTTATGTATGTGATATTTTAAATATGTTTTATTTGAATTAAAAAATGTAAATGAAATTATCATGAAATATATATAAAATTACCATTTTTCATTCACAAACGAATAAGTTGTTGGTTAAATCATCATCATTGCAATATTTCAACATTGCTTTTAATTTTGAATGATATTCAGATAATTTTATTGTATTGTTTTTCAATATAAATGGGAAAAATGATTATTTTGTAGCTATTTGTAGGTACTCCATTTAAAATATTCAAATTTATGAAGAATTCTCACTGATATTTTTAAAATAATTAAAATTTTTGAATATATTTTTGAAATGTTTGCTTATTTATTTGCTTTTTATAATTTATATTATTTAACAATTTTATTCTTAAATTTTCTGCTTAATTATATATGAACAGATGATCTTTTTATTATAAATATTTGACATAATAAATTCACATTTACCATAATTCATAATTATAACATAACAATGACATAATTTAATACTGGATAATTTACTTAATATACTCAACTCTACTTAACATAGCATGGGAGAGTGCTCTCTTAATAGAGAGCACTCTCCCATGTTTCCAGTTTTCTCTCCTATTTTTCATTAGTGGGACTCGCACAAACAGAGCAGTACATTTAAATGAGTGTTATGTTTGCACCATTTTTAGAGCTATAGCTACAGTGACCATATTTTGGGGGGGAATAAAGGACATATCGAAAAAATTCAAAAAATACCTTATAAAATTCATAAGTTTATAACATTTTTATTACGAAAATAGTAGCATACAACAATGCATACATTAAAATTTTAAACAATCTGAATTATTACACATACACACATTGTAAAAATTTAAATAACATTAATTTTGATACTTTTCAGTAGAATTAATTTTTTTATAGCGCCGTTTCACGCTTTAAAGTCATAAAATTCCATACAGTTCATTTGAAAGTTGTATTTGATGGAAATACATGCTTCTAATGTGCTTACTTTTAAATCAGTTTTTTCATTCGTCCACATATTATTCAGCAATGAAAATATTCG